ATACACACACGCTTACTTTGGCTAGTGATCCATTTCAAAAGTTCAATTCTGAGATCCATGAAATGGAGTTTCTGTGGATCTTATATTTAAGAATTTCGGATCTTGGTGCTTTCTTCAAGGAATCGAGTTCCATTCTTCATGTGATTGAGATCCATACTTCAATTGGATCTTGTTCTTGTGTGTTAGGGTTTGAACCTGAAGAGTTGTGGGATCCAAATTCTTTTACATTGTAACACTAGGACCATACATATACTGCAACCAGATTACACCAATAAGTGGTTCTAATAGTATGGGATCCATCACATCCTATAGTTCATATCAAGACCTGTCAATAAGTGATCGAGCTTCCATTAAATCGGGATGGGTATCAAAAGCATACTTATTAGCCAAATTATTACTATGATTATAAATATACAAATACATATACAAATATATATACATATACGTATTCATATACATATACACATACATATACATATACATATACATATACATATAAATATACATATACATATGCATATACGTATATATAATGAGTAAGATGGCCATCAGTTTGGGGACTTTACAAATATCAAAAGATGCAAACTATGAAGTCATAATTTACTAAATGTTTGAATTTTTTAAATATAAACATAATAGACTACAAAATGATCGAAAATTTTTTATTTCTTTAATAAAGGTTTAAAGTTTAGATAAAGGGCTAGCAACAGGCCGGTTTGGGCAGGACCAGCCCTGCATTGGTTTGACCCATGTCCCCATAGCGCCAGCCTAGGCTTGCCCTGGCCCAGTCAGGATTGGGCCAAAGAGGCTCTGGCCCTGTCAGGACCTTAGCTGGGCCGGGCCGGGCTAAACAAATAATAGAAAAGAGATACAAAGAGAAGGTCGAGCCTTACTGGACAGGCTGGTCTTGGTCCTGGCCCAGCCCATACTTAGAGCTATGATGGTGCCTTGGCTTGACCCGACACACAATTTGTGGCCCAAACCCTAGTTTTTTAGGGCCAGGCCGACTAGGCTAGGCTGGGCCGCCCAGCCCATTGCCAAGCCTATAATTCGATAGTATTAGTTTACCAATGTTAGGGACTACGTTCTCAAGCCAGGATGCCCTAGTTAAATGTACTTGAGGGCCTCATTTTGGAACTATATGGAGCTCGCATGTGTAAATTTTATTATTTGCTCCAGTCTATGTTGGGATAAGTTTCTGACAACTTTTTGGTGGCAGGGAACCTTATTTAATTGCACCGAGGAACTTCAATTCTCAAGTAAGGGATCTTGGTCTTAGAAATTTTATTACTCGATAATAATGGTTTGGGATCACGATCCATAGTAGGCAAGGATTGATTTTCTTGAGTTCAATAGCGTATAGACATTGATTCCTTTCATAAGGAGCTTCCAAATAGCCTCGATCATAAAGATCTTCCAGGTCGACTAGGCTGAGCTTCCTGATCCGGTTCGCAACAACTATGATATATATTTATACAGACACACATGTATGAATGTGTGTGTGTGTGTGAAATAATGGTTAATAAGACCTAACAAACCATTATTAACATTGAACTAAGTGTTATAAAACCAATAGAAATTATTGAAAATATCTTCTTTCTGGATAGTTCAAAAAATTCTCGTATTTCTTCAATTTGAAAAGAAAAGCCCCAAGCCCTGCTTCATGATTCCAGGAAGCCCCCATATGGGTGCCTAGGACCATCACAAACCTAATAGGTCCGTCAAGCCCCAAGCACCCACTTGGATGCTTCTTGGATAAATAAGAAGTACCCAAGTGGGTGCTTTGGACCATCACAAACCTATTAGCTCTGTGATGGGTCCTCACAGATCTATTAGGTCTGTGAAGCCCTCAGCGTACTAAGACCGTAGTGTCTTGATCTTTACAGACGTAATATGTCTGCATACACACTTTATGAACCTATTAGGTATGTGAAGGGCATTTTAAGAATTAAAAAATGTGAAGTAGGTATGGGCATAAATTTTCAAAAAGTGTTGTATTTTTTGAATTATTGAAAAAGAGTGTTTTCAATAATTTCCCTAAAGTTAAAGTAACCGTAAAATACACAAAAAAAAGAAAAAAGAAAAAACGTTTATCTTCTTTTCCTTTTTTTTATTTTTTTCATTTTTCCAGATCAACAATTTACCGGATCGAGATTAGGATTAGTGGTCGGCTGATGCACCCCATTGAACTGTCTTCTAAAGAATTTTGTAATGCCATGTTAGAGCACCTTAAATCGATGGCCTGTCTCAATTGCATTTTCTCTCTCAATAAAAACTAAAACATTTTCATTTTGTTTCGACATTGTTCATTGGATCCTAGAGTTATGTGTGCAAAATGTGAGCATGAACAAATGTCTCTAAGGCCGTGAAAATTGATACTGGGTAGCGGTCCACCAAGGATGGGCTTCATTCTTCTTCATATTTATTGATGCAAACTGCTTTCTGGAAGCATTATTTTACAACTACATACCTGTCTAAAATGATCTAAGGCTCAAGTCGGAGAACTCTTTCTCCTGGACCTTTATCTCTATGGTTTTGACTAAATTGGGCATCTTGGGCTTCAAACCATGGAATGTCAGTATGAACAAGTGTCTCTAAGGCCCTGAATATTGATGCAGGGCAGACATTGTAGCGGTCCACCAAGGATGGGCCTCATACTTCTCCAAATTTATTGATGCAGACTGCTTTCTGGAAGCATTACTTTACACCCACATACCTTTTTAAGATGATCCAAAGCTCAAGTTGGAGAACTCTTTGAGGTCCTTGAACTTTATCTCAATGGTTTTGACTAAATTGGGCATCTCGGGCTTCAAATCATGGTTGGAAGCCTTACAAGATAATTTAGCTATGAATTTTCAGAATAATAGGGCTTCAGTTTAAACTTCACTAGGAAAGTAAGTCATAATTTGTATTTAGTTAGATGTTCTTTCAAATTTCAGACAAGTGACAAATGATTTAGCCTTTCGGCAAATTTCTACATTGCTGACTCGAGGCTAAAAAACCATGTTTGGGGTATTTGTTGGACTCCAAATTTTGCACGCATCTT